ACTTGGATGTTGCCCAGTTTATATCAGACTGGCCCATAGAACTCTTCAGAAATATTTATGATTAAAATGTATAACGTGTCCTTTCGCTGGCTCCACCCTGGTAACAAGGCGGTACGCGATGTGTTCCTTTTTACTACCTGTAAACCGGGGCGACTATGGCACCATGATACAAGAACCTGATAATAATTATGTTGAAAGAGAAGATATACAGATATATCTCTGCAAAATTACAAATTGTAAGTATGAATGTTCTCAAAACATCACTTTTTGAGTCCAGATACAGGCACCAGCGAGATGAGGGAACCTCAATCACCCGGACCATGCCACTTGAGATCGGAGTGACTAAGGCATCCCTCGTCAAAAACATTACCTTACACATGTTTTCTGTCAAATGCACGAACTCTATGGCTCATCTAGCTATTTAAGAGCCTAGTATAGACCTTAGAACATATTAGTGCAATAGATTAGGGGGTTCTCACCACAGTTTGAAGGAACCGTGTAGAGGTCGATTTCAAATGCAGGCACTAGTCATCTTAAAAACAACCCACAGATCCACTACAAATGTTTCCCCTTAGCTATTCTGTTGTTTTTTTAAATACACCCCAAATTGATTACTCTTTTTGGTGATGCATTTCAAAATCTGTTGTCTATTTGTGGTGGCCGAATTTTGCTATTCAAAAGGCTTTTTAATGGCTGCATCGATCGCCATGAAGTTTTCGCCAAAAGATTCTTTAAAATGTTCTCCTGATCATGACGCCCTTTGTTTTTTCAGTTTTGAGACAGTTTTGCTGCGAAAAGCTAAATTTCTTTATTTCGCCGATCGCTTTGGTGGGCCGACGCTTCTGTCTCTGTAATTTTAGAAAATCCGCCAAGTTTGTTTATTTCAAGTCGTACTTCCGTTCGATACTATTGCGCATTGTCGCACAGTACTGAGCACTATTTTAAGTGTGCGACCCGTATAGATATAGCCTCATGTTTTCTTTTTTTTTTACCAATGACTTTCAGTTGATGTTATTGCACCGATCATTCCTTTCGTCGAAAGGGGGCCCAGCTAGTTGCTTTTAAGATCACCTTTGATAACGAAAGAAATAATCTTAATTGGAACATTTTCACAGTTACATGCCTCAATCACCAAAGTTTACGGTATCTCTCCAGCTTATGGTTCCCGGTTGTGGGTATAACAATGGCCTGGATCTTGTGTATTTGGCACAGGGGGGACATAGTTTGTTGAGGACTTATAACGGGTACAGTTTGGTTTTAGTATAAGTTTTACAGCATTTGTAACACGGTCAGATCATATTATAAGTGCGGAAGATTGGGGGTGTTACTAGCACAACATGGAGGAGAGATAAGGACGCTAGACGTTTGATGGGAAAGAAGAGGTATCATTGGTATCATTGGTATCATTGGTACTGTTTAAATAAGATATCAGAATCAATCAACGTTCCACCCGCCCCTTGCATACTTTAAAAAATAGTTTACAGATCTAGTTACTTGTGTTTCTAACTACTATCAATATCAGCTATTGGCCAATGGACGGCTTATTTGCGTATTTGTTTTTGTTTTGGTAAGTGTTTTACGGCGCTGCAAATGCACACGGCCATGTGAGTGCGCTGAACATTTTCAGTTTGGTAGGAATTAAGTTTGAATTTTTCCCATCAAGGGATATTTAAGGTGCACAACTTGCTCACGGGGCATCCGAGAATTTTCGCCCTCGAGAAGGTAAAGCGTTAGATCTTACCTACCCTAATATCAGGGGCGTGGCTGTAAGAAGCTAAGGCGTAGGCTAGCAGTAGATAAAGCTGCAGAAAGAGTCAGAAGCCCAGAGGAGGGGGCAAGGAGAGGAGAAGGTTGGGAGGGGGGAGACAAAGTGGAGGCTTATTATTTTGTTAGAGTAAAGAAAAAGTTCATTGACACAAGATAGGTCAATTAGTGCACACAAAATCTGCTTAAATGTTACGTCTTTTCCTTATATAATTATATTTATGCTCGGATCACTCTCTGCCGGTTAGAGTACGTAGAGATTACAACATACGCACGCACGAAACAAAGAAAAGGAACAAACATCAAAGAGCGAGAAGACAGGAAGCCGAACATGCTCTCTTCATGCAACCTAAAAACTCGCGTCGGAGTTAGGCTGCCGCGGAATAATTAATCCCTTTGAAATATCGTGTCGGGCGAAATGACAGTATTCTAATATTCTGGAGGGAGAAAGAGGAAGGAACAGCTCGAGAAGGGAGCAGAGGCTGCGCAGAGTGTCGGTATTTGCTGAGTAGATTTTACAACTACGAGAAGGAAGGACATACGACATATGAACTGGAACCAAGAGACTATGGAGTGTTTGTGTGCGTGTGTGTTTGTTTGTGTGTATGTGTGTGTGTGTGTGTGTGTGTGTGTGTGTGTG